TTTGGCGGTCGACGGCGGTCCCGCGGACGCGCGGGCCCAGGGTGAGCGCTAGCTGTAGTCCCACGCCGCCGCCCGCACTGCACTGCACTCGTCTCTGCAGTCACCGTCTTCGCTGCCCTACGCGAAACCACGCACTTCGTAGGGGGATTTGCAATCACGGCACAACTTTACCACCCAATTTCGTCCCTCTTTCTTCTCATTCTTTTTTCCTCTTTTGACTGAAGTTGCAAGAAATTCGACTTCAAACTTTGAAATTGCGTGAATGAGTACCTACGGCATGTAATAAAGCACCACACACTATACCATTCACATCGCTTCAAAAAAGAAAGTGTAACATGTGCAACTCATATAAAAACAACAATTAATGGAATTACGTGGACATGGATATTCACACAAAAAAGACTTCATTTCGAAAAACAAATTTCATTAACAAAAAAGTCTCCCTTTTCAATATCGTGATTTGGGAAAACGTCAAAAATGTGAATAATTGCAAATTTCGAAAATTCAAAGAATACAACGAAAAACAGACCTGCTTTATTTTTGTGAGCGTACTTTGCACTACCGAAGATAAAAGTAAAAAATTTGGAACCGTTTTTGAGAAAAATGGGAAACTATCGTTGAGGCTTTAGGAAAAGTACCTTCCAAAACCAATACATCCGTTTTAAATTTGCAGGGCTTTCAGACCAACCAGATCAATAGGAAAATTGCAATTTGGAGAAATTCTGTGAACAGTTTAGGCCCTATAGAGCGTCTCAACCTTAAGTTGCAGAGATCAAATTGACAAAATGGCTAAATTACTACCAAATGGCCGTAAATGGTTGCCTGATTTCTGCTAATACGTTGGGATACGATAGATTTTGATCGTTCCATAGCAATAAGTAACATGTTAATCATTCAATTCTCCAAAAATTGATATATTCATATTTACAAACCATTGTGACTATAGTATTGTTTTGCTTTGTGAGCATGCCTCTTGAAGCCGTTCCTCTGAGGCTCTGGGCTCGAGAGAACAGACATGTCACAGTGCAAAACTAACTTGGGGTTTGTAATGTCTGCAATTAAAAGTGCAGACGAGGAAGGGAGGCTCGAATGGAAAATTGTTGCTGTGATGCCGGGACCTATAAACCAATTATATTAAAATGTAATTCACTGTTCAAAATGTCTTAACCCCTAGTATGGGCCCTTTATCTAGTATCTATTAATTATTTGATTACAATTATAATGATGCTACATAAACAGATACCTTAAATATTTTAGTGTCATATTTTGAATGGTATTTTGGGTAGTTCATCAGACCAGTAGAGAGATATGTAATTTAAAACTTTACTCTTTATAGCTAGACACTCCAAAAGTTCACACTTGACCGTTCCTTGAATTGATGGTTTGATATACTTATACCGACAATGTATTTGAAATAATTGATTTGGTAACACGATAGACGAGTTAATGGTGACAATAATGTGATATATTAATGTAACGTTTCTTCATTTAAGAAAACATATGTACCGGAAGTACACTTTATCGTTTACTGAAGATTCGGGGCGCTTCGCCCGAGGTGTCGAGAGCTCTCTCGCTCAGCAAAGCGCTGACTGAACTCCCGTACTGACATACCGGAACTATCGCTGCGCTTAACTAGTCTAAATGAAGAGACTGAAAGTGGTGTCCTTCAGCTCGAATGAATTCTTGGCACCTCCGGAACATAGTCTGATTAACCCTTTGAAGTACGTCGCGGGGAATTCAAAGCCTTACTAAACAAGGATTCTGACTGCACAACGTGTTCGAGGAAGTAGTTTACTAAAATTTAGGAACACGTTTTATCCACTTTTTCGTTTCCAGGGTACGACAATGAGAGTTTTCTGTTGAAAAATCGCCGATTTCGGTCGCACAAGTACAATACTTATACTTCTTATGAAATAAGCCGAGAAAGCAAAAATAATTAGTTTTCACATACTTTCAACTTGAAGTTAATGCAATTTATAAAAGCAATTTCTCAAAAACGGCTCCAATAGTTTTCCTCATTTTTTCTACGGAGAGTGTAAAGAACGCAAAAATAGTGGGATCTAATTTTCGTTGAAACCTCCAAATTTTCGAAAAGTTGGAAATTTTGCGAGAACGAATGTGCTGTTGCAGCACCACTGTTTTTTCTGTCAGTTCATATGTTACCGTGCAATAAATGAAGACATCATTGCGTACTGCCATTTTTCGAAAGATCAAATTCTCTTGTTGCGCACTGGCTCTGTTCTCTACACAACGAACATTAACTTAATACAAATTCTCCTGCTCAAAAATCAATACTTTTCCAATACGACTACAGTTGTTCGGTGCGGTTTTCTTCACACGTGTAATGTTTACTCCATCTATGAACAATCCGTCCGTCTTCAGTAGTGTAAATTGTGGTACCCAGACATTAATTGCTAAAAATTTCTTCGGAATTACACTTCCCAAAATTTCTTAAGGCAATAAGTAGTATAAAGAAAATCTTAGTTGACTCCACGCACGACTAATTTCCTCCTTACAAGCCATTGTGAATATTGTTCACCATCTCCTGCTACACTTCATTCCTCCACTTTTCAATACATCCGCCGTGCTCTGCTCAGTAACGGTCACCGCCACTCCTTCGGTATCGATTGCAATATCGAGAAGCAGCATAACCAACCGTAGCCAACCACATGGCCTCTTTTGGCGCTAGCATCCACTGCGAGGTAGTGGCGAACTTACTGCCCACCTCTTTCCCCTCCGAGGCGCTGCCTTGACCGCATATTTCTAACTCGTAACCAAGTATATCCTACAGCCCCAAATTGAGCTGGTCCGGAAGGCCGAGATCGTTCAGGCAGTAGTGTGTAGTAAGGAGTAGTGCCGTAGAGATCTAGGACCGAAGGATCGCGGGTTCGAGTCCAACCTCGGACTTGGTTGTCCGAGGTGTGTTCGTCCTTTCACCCCTGTCATCACCATATCATGTCATCTTTACAGTTACCATACCGTGAAAGGTAATAGTGGTCGCTAATGACCTAGATGTTGATGCGACTTTAAATAATAATAATAATAATAATAATAATAATAATAATAATAATAATAATAATAATAATAATAACAAAAAAGTTGAGCATTCTCATTGGTCAGAATCTTACAGCTGTTCCAAGTAGTTGGCATGGAGAACGCAAGGAGTCGCGAGTAAAACGATTCGTTGAGGACTGGCGTGAGTTGGAAGGCTCGACTCATTCGACTGCACTCTGTACCACACGTGTTTTTTTATTCATTATTCAACCAGCCAACTATCATAACAATGTTTTATGATGTTCGAGAATGTAATTTGCTTGAATATTAAAGAGAACACCGTATTGTTAAAAATAATGTATTCAAAGAATTAGTTAATGTTCCTTAGGCCAAAGTTAATCAGAAGTACGGAGATATAGCTGTCTATGTATGAATTAATAAAATAAACTATTATTAAATACTTTATCTTTGAATTCTTAGAGGGAGGGTTAAAAGACTTATTCCAGTCTGTAATTGTTCTGTAATTAGAGGAAAATTTCCAACATCTGTTCTCTGAGCCCTCAACTGTATTTTGTGCGTATGATTCCTTTAAGTTATGTATATGGATGCACCAAGTCGGCTAGATATTTCTTTCCATGCTGGGTAACTACCATGCGTGTTATACAGGGCACAAAGTCTTGTGTTAACCCTCCCGATTTCTAAAGTCTTCATTTTATTTTCATCCTATTTGTCTGGAAAGTAAAATGACATGTCTTTTCTGTATTCTATTAAGATTTTACCGTTTCGATTCCTTTAAGAGTCCCAGCAAATCAATCGGTATTCTACTAAGTCAGCCATTTAATACTCCTGGCATAATTGAACATTACTCGTACATTCTCTTCCCAAATAATTAAATGAAAGGTATTCTTCTGAGAAAAGAGGGAGTCGCGACAAGACATTAAAGAATCGTTCATTAGTGTTTCATTCAGCTCAGACGGTCGTCGTAGCGACTCCTACTAAGCACATTTTTATCTACTTGTATTCCTCCAAGTTTCTGACCAATGAGAAGGCTTAATTTGGGGATGCAGGATAAACATGGTTACGGTTTACAAATATGCGCTTCGACCACCGACTGCGTGCACTCCGACTGATGACGTGTCACACGCTGGCCCTCGCAACGGTAGAGGAGCCGCTGCCAGAATACACGTATAGTCGTTTATGTTACTACACATTCTTATATATTATTGTGTTCCTCATATTCATAATACGCCCCCCTCCCACTCACGCCGATGGTAAGCTTCGGCTATGCCACTGAGAGAACACAACTTTGGCATTAACGTAAATGAAAAGTTAATGAATAATTAAGGTAAAAACTCCTATATATTCATGTAATTCCAAATATATCGTACGCAAAATGTAAGGAAGATTTTTAAGTACGAAAGAAAACTTATTTATGGGCTTGTAGTTAACTAAAACTGCTGATAATGTGTGCTCATTTTTCTCACATGTTCACAGGCGTGGCAGGTTTCTGTCTAGCTCTTTATGATTACGAAGCAGGGTGTGATGACGAGCTAACTTTTTACGAAGGACAAGTGATCCGCATATTGAGTAAAGTGCCTCACAATGTGGACGACGGTTGGTGGGAAGGAGAAGTGGACGGACGCACCGGGATATTTCCTTCGCTAGTGGTGGAAGAATGTCGAGAAGATGGTGAGCCCTTTACGCCCCAGGTGAGTTTCCATTCTCAGATTTGCGAAGTATACAGTAATCTGCTTAATAGCTTTATTGGGTTAAATGCCATCTCATTACTTTTTCAGAAATGTACTGCAGATAGAGAATTAGTGAATAAAGTAGAAGTATTGGTAGTTCTCGTAGTAATGACAGTAATGGTAAAATACTTATAATGTTGATGGCAGCTGAAATATTAAAGGAAACGGTGATAGTATTTGTGATGGTGGTTGTAGCGACAGTAGTAAAACAATACGTAGAAGGCAAAGAAGAAGAAGAAGAAAAGAGAAAGAAGGCGAGAGAGATGAAAATGATGACAAATGAAAACTATTGACTTATTGATTGATTCATTCATTCATTGGTTGAAGTTTTCCTGCACACCTGCTATGGTCATTATTTAATGCTATGAATATTTTAGCGCAGGAGGTGACGGTGTTCCTCCCCCACTGGATGGTGAGATCTGCCGCTGACCTATACGTGGACTCGCCGAGTATTTCCCCCTCCATGTAGTTCCCTCAGCAGGGCAGTACCCCACCTGAGACGGCCTCTAAGCTCCTGACAGGTCTCTCGACAAGAATGTTAGTGTTTTGCTTGTAAGTGTGTCTTATTGAGAGAGAGAAACGAGGAAAGAAAACAAGGGGAGAGGATAGAACATACGAGGAGAAAAAGAAGAAGGAAATATTGCGCGTGGTCCGTGACCCGTGGTCGTTAGAGTACTACTTCGGCATTCGTCAGGTATTGATCGCAACAAATACAGAAAATTCCCGATCAGAGTAGCCGGCTGCAAGAATTCTCCCCCAGAAGCGGTTGCATTCGAGCTAGGTATAGTTAGAGTCGAAATACGCCACCGTCAGATCTCTAACACTAGGACACTAGGAACGATGAAACAGAGGAAAGAGATGAAGACGATATTAACGGAAAAGAAGAAGACGGCCAAAGAGAAGATGGCAAGGAACAGAATAAAAAAAGGCAAAAAGAAAAAAGGCGGAAAAGGAGAAGGCGAAAAAAAGATGAAGACGACTTCGAAAACGATGATGGATGATGGCCGGGAGAGATGGCTCAGGGCATCAATAACACTGCAGTTCCTGCAGTCACTGCAGTTCCTTTGACCAAGAGGTGACTAGGTTCGAATCCCCACGATTTTCGACACTAACTTGTCAGCATGTCGAATTCAGTCGCTGTCTGGAGAAGAATTCTAGCAACCGGCTGCTCTGATTGGTAGTTTTCCGTGGTTTCTCCGATCAACAGCAGACGAATAGAGGAGCAGTACACTATCAAACGGGCCACGGATCACGGGAGATATTGCCTTCTTCCTTGTCCTATCCTCACCCCTTACACACACTAACATTCACTACACTACCACACCTACCGGCAGACCAGTCAGGAGCATAGACCTTGTCCCGGCAGAAGCGGTGCCCCCTGGCTGGGAAAAAACCGCTCAGCGACGGTAGGTTTGCGCCAGAACTCTCCATACAGCGGGGGAAAGATTACTGACATCTCCCGAGCTAAAACAGGAACTATACATACGGGACTAATAACTTCATTAGTTGACGTTGGAATAACTAACAATCAATCAAGACTTCGTTGGAGCGACCGCGTTGAAATAAGATGAAAAAACCGACGAGGAATATGAAGAAGAAGCAGAAGAAGAAGAAGAAGAAGAAGAAGAAGAAGACGAAAAGGAAAAAAACAAAACAAAAACGTCTTGAGATGTCGGTCGGCAGCGGGCGAATTGTTGAATCATCGTTTATGTTAGAAGACGGTGAAGGGGTATTTTCCTCTAGAAACGAATTTGAAACGTTTACGCCAAACTGCGATATACATTGTGCCTCATGGTTGGTGTTTCATGATTTGCTTTTATGGAGAATGTATAGTTCTGGAGAATGTAGTATTGTGTGAAACTGCGAGTGCAGCTATTCGTTGCAATCAAGAATACGTTTAACTTTCAGTGATAATTTTACCATGTTAAGAGGATGAATATTATTAACAAAGTACATGTTACTTATTATCATAATCAGTGCAATAAAAAACTAAAAATGCTGGAAACTTTGAGAGAACTATTTACAGTTGATTCTGGTTATAGTGAACTCGGATATAGTGAACGCTCGTCTGTAGTGAACTTAAGTCACTGGTCCAGTTTCACTTACAAATAAGAAGATTCGCTTATTTGAACCTCGGCTATAGTGACGGTAGGAAATACAACGTCCTGGAAATTAATTCCCTCCTAGAAAAAATATTGCCTCAGTGCCACAAACCAGGCTGTTTGGAAAAAATATTGTCAGCCAAAGGTCATAATTGAAGAAGTCTACCCTGAAGTGAAGGTAGAGGACCTGGAACGGAGACCTTTCTGATGATCTTAAGGCACTGAGCTTCACTGCGAAAACAAAGACAGTGCTACAACGTGGGCGTGGGCGACGCGCGATTGCTTGCTTCAGGTTCAAGCTTAGTGTTAAATTCCGTGGAACAAAGCGCGTTGTGTTCTACGTAGGCAACAGGAAGTGCGCGACTGCCACAACCCCACTACCTGGGGACAGCCCTGCGCCGCGCGGGAAAGCGATCAGTTTCATTAGCCGCTTTCGCCATGTCGCTACCGAAAGGGTATCGTATGTTATTAGATGAGTAGAAGAGCCTTCGGAGAGTGGGACGGTGTTCCAACACTGCAAGAGGCTTTGAAGGGATTGATCTTCCTCTGCAAATTTGTGTTAGGTAAAGTGGCATTTCGATACTTAGACACAGAGGACAATGCAGAATCATGTATGGAGAGAGCACGAACTCTGGATAAGGATCTAGAGAAATTACAAATGAAAAACATACAAAGCAAACAATTGAAAATATTAGATTTTTAAGGGCAGATAAAGCTATTGGAATTTTTAATTCGAGTTGTTAATGTATTTTACTGAATCTCTATGTTAATAAAATCAATAATTGTGAAGAAATTCTATTTAATTTTGACATCATCTGATATAGTGAACCTCTGATATAGTGAACCAAAAATGTTAGTCCCCAGAAGTTCACTATAGTACTACATCATTTGAAAAAAAATCAACGGCGCACTGCAGTTGACCTGATACCTGTAAGAGATCTTCCAAGTTTGAGTACGCCCATCTAAAAAAATTGATAGGTGTTTATTGATGATTGAAATCATGTTCCCGTGGTTACACAAGATACATTTGTCATTGCAAGAGAAAATAATATCCCACGTAATCACCTTCGCCTCAAATTGATCTTCCTCTGCAAATTTGTGTTAGGTAAAGTCTGAGCCTTTTTATTATCGATAGTGATAACAGATATTCTCAATATTATTTGTATTGTTATGTGTATTGTGTCAACGTTATATTTATTCCGACAAGTCATATCATTATAATTCGCTACGGATAACTCATCAAAAATGACGATATAAATCATTTGGTACATGGCTGTCCGGGACGAACTCCGTCACAGTCGCTCGAACTGACGTATCGGTCATCATGTTGTGCCTTCCTCTGAGCTATACTGCTGCCGACGTTTTCCAATTGTCCCCTCTCCAGTAGCCCAGGAGAAGCGGGAGTTTATTCAGTTACAGTGGCTTCACAACAAATGCTTCATCTGAATAGGCGTTTGAAGTGATGAGTGTGTGGTAACTTAAATAAACTAACTAATAATATCTGATTGCTATTTTAATAACTATTTACAGGAACCTTTTATTTTTAGATTACTTGTATTCCAAAATTTAAGATTGTGAAAAGGAGAAAAGGAGATTGTACTCTCGTTTCCCCTCTACCGAGTATGATACGTCTCCAGCTGTAGCAGTAGTACGAGCTGTCACAATGGCTGGTGTCAAAAGTGAAGTTGGCCACCTTTTTTAGTGAAGCTTACAAACATTCTCTGAAGATTGACACCATAACGAAGGGTTTTGAAGTATGTAGGTTATTCTCTTTCAATTCTGTTAGGGTCGACTATAGTAAATGCATTGCAGATAGGCAGCAAGAACTGTTCTACCAAGAAACATTATCAAATGATGCCATTGAAGCCGTGCTCATTACATTAGAAAAGGAGATGCCACCAGGTATTGCAGAATTTCCCTGCAGTAGAAGAAAATGGAATTGATCCCGAAAGTGAATTTTTTTTTTTCGATTTGGAAGGCAAAAACATCCAAAATTTATGTTGGTAATTGTGACCTTCACGGCCGTCTTACCTTTGTTGCTAGCTCAGACGGAAGTGGGTCGCGGGAGTGAGATGGATGGACGTCGTTGTTTATGAATGAAAGAAGTTATTGAATGAGGTAAAGATTAATGTTTAATGACTCAAAATAAAATGAGCACGACAAGAGGTGAGTTTCTACCTCAGCTCAGTTTCTCCCAAAACAAAACTTAACCTAATTAAAATCTAACACACAGGAATATCTTAAGGCTACGCTTACAGGGAATTGGTTTGGCATTAGAATTGTATTGTAGCCAATGTGCGCCTAAGAATCGTTGCCTGAATTACACAAAAATTGTTTGAGCAAGAATCCATTATTTTTATTATTGCCTGAAGGGCCTATCTGGAGCCATTGCAGGCTTTGCGATGACATCACCCGTGTTTGTTGTTGTGGAAGTGTCACCCTCGTCCAGCTGTTGCGCACTTCACTGTGCGGACCAATTGCAGATCATCTGAAAAGACAGGCGGCGTCGACTCTGGGGCGCGGCGAAAGCCCTGCAGCAGGTAGCGGGAACCGTTGGGCTGGCTCGAGACCCACGCGCAGTTTATCGTAGTCGCGTCCACAAATATCGTCCTCAGCTCTCACTTTCAGATGTGATGCTGCAGGCGCTTATAATTCTGTCCATTTTGGTAAAGGTGACAATTTTTGGTAAACCCGAAACATCACGGAATTGTGAAGTTCCGGAAGTCGCGTAGCGTAATTTTGAAAATGCAGTAAGTGTCCTTCAAATGTTCAAATTACCGAAGCAAATGTCGGTGAAACTTTACCAGTCATCGCTTCTGAAGGGCGGTTGGACAAACTAAAGTTCAAAACGCGTATCACAGCGTTCTAAAAGAAAATCAAGTGCCCTGCGGATTTACAAGAAATCAAGTACTGGAGCGGGCGGTGGTCTGTCAAGAAGTGGCCTGGCGGTTGTCTGACAAGAAGTCCCAGCCGTTTTGGTTATTCCCTTCTTTCACTCCCGAAAGTTCTAGAAGATTCCAATATTTCGATAAAACGGCTGCCGATTGGCATTAAGGTTATTGCGTTGCAGAAGGATTTCGGCCAATCGCCGAACGTGTGTTAGCGACCCGAATGAAAGGCTACAGTATCTCCTACTTTGTCATTCTTTTTGTATATAAAATACACGTGTAGCGTAGTGTGTCCCTTCGTCGGTGGCCCTGGAATTCCCATAACTTAAAGTTAATGACCTGTGAGTATTCCCAAAGCGTCCCTTCCTAGCTGCAGTCGTGAACAAAGGAACGGTACAGTGGAGGGTGTGACTAATTGAGACCTCTTGACGCTGAACGTGACCAGACCCACGCGTCTGTCGGTCGTACGACGCAATTTGTAAAAAATAAGATAGAAGTTTAATAATTATTTCATCATTAAAATTCGGTGACGCCACACAATATTTGCTTCTATTTTATCAGAACACTCATTAGAAATCAGTACGCCTCTATCAATAGAATAAAACAATTCACAAACAATGAACTTAGATAATGCCGCTTACTTCAAGCGACAGAAACTATTATTACTGAGGAACCGGCAAGTACTTCTCATGGAGTTGAAGCAACTAAATCCCAAGTTGTCAATGATGTTTGAAGTAATTATCTACACTGGCCACAATATGAGAATGACAAAGTTGACCGGGAAAGGAAAAGGGAACGAGTTCCCTTTCCACTGACTTTACAAAGCTGGAAGAGCCACCGTGACTATAAATCAAGAGGAAATGAACAGACAAAATGCAAAGCAAAACGTAAATAAGACAGAAACAAAATAAAGGCAAAAAATTAATCTTAATATAAATGTGAAAAGATTGGGAGAGAAATAGTGAGCCAGATTCAGATGCAGTATTACTTGATTCAGATGCGGAATCAGGAAACACAGATTTTAAACTGCAGGTGAGATGCGCGGTGTTAATTTCTATGCAAATGAATACGTTATAGTAAATGTGTGATGCAATATAATATGGGAATAAGTAACGAAAGGAAAAGCTGAATCAGAAATTAAGATAATGAAAAATGTTGACAAAGGTCGTTGGAAATGACCAGAAAACATGGAATAAATATGATACAAATATAATAAAGTAACCCGTATTAATAAGCCTGAGAAATATTAAAGAGTCTGGTGTTTTTAGAGTTACTTATTTGGATTGATACACATGTAATATATAATACAATTGTAGAAAGGTGTGCTAGACTTCACGTTCTCCATTAATTCATTCTTTTGTTCCAAAAAGTATTTTTGTTATTTTTTGCAAGGTTTTTTACTACATTTTCTATTTGATAATAAACAGACTAATGGTAAAAATTATTCGCTTTTCTGTTACAAGGGTAGATCAGTAGCAATTAATCTACATCTTAGATAACTAAATCTCTACTTTACCCATCAACGCCCGAATTAAGTTTACTGCTCGTCACGCACGCTTATTGTATGCGCACACGTACAACGCAAAGGAATTGTTCATGTTATATGCTGACCGTTCCATTTTGAGAGCGATGGGACTATAATACCCTACGAGTTAGGGAAAGGAAAATATTATTTCCACATGTTCATGAAGTTCTATGGTAGTCATTTACTGGTGTCCGTCCGGTTAACTATTGGAAAGCTTTGGTCATTCACTGGTGTGCACTTTATTTAAATTTTAAACACTGCTTTTCTTGCAGCTTGAAACAATTACTATTATAGTCGAACTAGATTGTGATTCACAATTCTTGTAACTGACAAATCGAGAGGGAAATTCAAGAAAAGAATATTTAAAATGTACTTATTCTCCAGCACATCTATTTTATCCAAAACTTGAACGGTGTTTTGAATTGAACATCGTCACAATTTACTCATGACATAAATGTTTCGCAGTTCCAAAGCCGGAGGTAATATAAGATATTCAAAGGGGCGCCGCATAGTAGATTAACGCGTGCGATTTTCACTCGATTGCAGGGAGAGGACGAGCCACCTAGTTCGGCGCCGCCAGTGTTTACTCCCCCGGACGTGCCTGTGTTCCTCCTGGCGCCCCAGCAGGTCATTATCACGCAGCCCACGCCCGAAATGGATGCAACGCCGGGTGACCAACAAGTAGGTAAGTAGTCGTGGGCTTCTCCTCGTGTTTAAGGACTGCGCCAATCACAAGGGAGGAATGGCTTTGAATGATGCGTGGCGCGCAGCTCAGCAGAGCAGGAGACGCAGTGGCAGCGGCAAGCGGTTTCATGTCCTATTCCTTCCTCGTTTTCCCTTTAAGGCAGCATGTTCGTGCTAGTCGCTAGTCGAATACTCTATCATTTATTACCTCCTTAAATTAACAATTAGCTACTTGTAAATGTGGACGGAGGATTAAAATAATTAAGTGTTAACAGTTGAAAGAGAAGAACGTACGGCTTGCTCTAAAAAAATTAATATTAAATTTAGTATTTCCTATGATTTTTCATTTTCGTAGGTCATGTTGACTTTGACTCTCACTTTTTTCTTTCTGCGTTAAATATATGTCCACATTGGTTGCATACATAGTGAATTATCGACCGTAGTTTGTGATTGTGTGTGACACACATTTTTAAATTAGTGCGATTTATGATCTGAACGGGAGAGAAACGTACTATAGCATTATCTGCTGAACAAATAGCAGCATGAATTGCTGCGCTCTAACATGATTTGCTATTAAATTGCTGTACAAATCATGCTATAGGACGACTATAGCATGATTTGTACTGCGTATCTCCTAGGCCGAGAGCCGGTACTTCCGGTTGCTATGAATGTCGCAGAAGTTTTTAATTAATTTCTCTTCAGAATTCGCGGTAAGGTACGTTACATTTAATATCATTTGTATCCTAAAAGTATTATGTATAGAATCAAACAAAATACTTTTGATCGGATAATTTCTTCAAAATCTTAAAAACACAGATGCCCTCGAAAGTTTTTACATAAATTCTTGAAATAATTTACACTTATTTTATTTAAAAATAAGACCGATAAAGGCCAATTTTTTGTACCATCTTTAACAGACATTTTACTTCCAATAATATCTTTTTGTGGGGCGAACAAACGAACATACTACCTGAACGTACGTTCTAGTCTCAGCTCCTCAAAATGAATAATATGTCAGTTTGACCATATATTAATTTCAAAAGGAGCAAGAGAATAAGAGTGAATGAATGTAAATTTACGTTCAGTCAACTATCAATACTCAATGTCTCCAAGTAGGACATTCAGAGGAGATGAAGGGAAAAAACAGGTGAAGACGATGTTAAGAGTACAGTTGGGTGTGTACACGTTTTTGAGTGTAGTAGACCAAGGACATACCGCCAAGTCACACATCGGAGACGTGCCTCCGATAAGGACCATGGTGTCCCATTGAGATGCCAGTCTGTTCTGTTCCAGATGTGAGAATGTCTCGGGCCCACGTAGACCTTTTAGTCACGTTATGATCTTCGTCAGAGGAGGCATAATTGGTGCGCGAAGTGGCAACGATTCTTTGAGAACATAAAGTTCACAAAGAAGTTGAAGAGCCCACGCGACGTAGAGTCGCTGACTTCATTTCTTGTGGATGTCTTCGACAAATCGTTAAGGACCTTTCGCAACGATTATACAGCCATGTAAATCATTCTCATATGCCAGCTTATACCGTGCACCAGCGTTTACTGTTATTTGGACTGCAAGCAGGACGGCCAGTCCTCAGCCTCCATTGACGTCATGACACGTGGCTGCTAGTGGTGCAGAGATCTAGTGGAGTAGTGGTTCGGTGGTGCAATTAAAGATGGAAATGGAATCGTGCGAGAAAAATGTTTGAAGATTTTAATTGTCTTTCAATAAAAATATTGAAATTGTCTTGCCCTTTGAAAAAAAATTGAAAAAATATTTTGCTAAAAGCGACCAGTGTAATAAAATGCAAAATATAGATTTCACCTCAATTAATCATATAAAAAGTACATATTCTTTTATATTTCTCGATATATAAAGGGGGCGAAGCTCTTGGTGATGTTTCTTCCACAGCGTGGACAATCTTGACTCTTGACCTGCTGTACCTGCCTTGACCAACTCGCTTTCGCTCTATATAATTTCTATTCATTTGGTGATAAAATTAGAGTTAAATTTCAGAAATTCATTTGTTCACATTTTTAATAACAGTTAGAAAGTATGTTCTACAGATTTATGTGTATTTTAAATTAACCAAATATAGATGTTTAAATAAAGATTAAATTGTATTAATATTATCAAAAGTAAATTAAAGCAGATTTGACCATTCTATTCGTAGAAGAGTTAAACGTAAAATAACGTAAAAGGTTGATAATGTGTGTTGTGTTTGATTTTTTTTTAACTTCTTAATATGGACCATAATTTCACGTAGGATGTTGAGAATATATTTTCAATAATATAAAAAAATCCTTCAATATCTCACTTGCACACGTTCTAACTATCTATAAATTAACAAATAAAAATTGATTTTAAATTCAACAAAAATTGAAAGGTTTTAGAATAATACTTCAGTTAATTAAATCGTACAACTGTAGCCTCTATACGAATTTCTTCCCATTATCATAGACATATTTTTGATTGTGTTAGTGAGGAAGAATTAATTCATATGAATGAAAAGAGCGACGTTGTTGCCTTTGAAAAAGTTCAAGATAATGAAGTGGAAAAGAAGGAACTTGACTCCCAAAGTAAATAAACTAATGGCACCACAGAAGAATACACCGGCAGCACATATGTTCTATTATTATTTATAATAGATGGGTAATACATTAATACCTCTCTGAAAGAGCACCCCTATTAATCTCCTGATCACCAGCCTGCGTCTTAATAACAATTTTCTTAATTTACTTGTTTTAAGAGACTTTTTCCAGAAAAAAAAACAGTACACAGTACACCAAATTTTCAGTAACTATTATTATTGGTGATGTTGTAAAAATCATTCCATATCCTGTTTTAGCAAATTAGAGGGCGGTGGGATTACTGGAATTGATTTCCAGAATCCGTTACGTGAGTAACAATAAACGGTGTTCTTAGATAAGGAACCATTACTGCTCTTCCATTTCAGTTTCATTTCTTTTATTGAGAGGCAGGATTTTTGTATATTCTCCTCAACAGTGCCCGAGATTCGAATTGAAGTTGACGAACTCTTTCCATCTCGCATCGAAGAGATTTCGTATCATGTGATTCATTGCCAGATAAATTTTTACCACTGACATATGTTTCATTGGAAAGATATGAATCTTCAACAGGACCATCGTTTTCAAGTTCTACTTGTTCGTCATGTGGGTAGTTCGATCAAAGAACATACTCCGCATTTCTCTGAATGTCAGCAAGTTGTTCTGCTGCGAATTTTCCACTGCTGAGTGTGTATCGTCGTTGACTGGCTAGTTTCTTTGAATCTAGGGGTCTGACATCTGTGTTCCGGCCTCTCCATTCCTTGAAAGTTTTATTTCCGAGCCCCCATTTTTAGCTTTAAATAGTGAAAGTACTATAATCATCTTCAATTTAACCCGTGTCCATCTCTGACGAGGGCTTCGAGCTACAGCCCACTCTGGGTCTCTGGGACTAAGCCTGGGATAACCAAACGTTGACAAGGTGACAGTAGCTCTATTTCTGAGCAGGTATGAAATTGGTAGAACAAGGCACGTGAAGATTCATTACATTTCTTGTTCTGTCCGCTTTGCCCATTGCTTGTAAGTGAAGATTCGCAGGAAGCAAGTTCGAGTTCACAGATCACATTTAACCCATGGGTTATTTCCTGTCACCCATTACTGCGACCCACAGTGGCCTCGGAATATCCCCCGCAGGGCCCAGCAAGGGGTCCCTCCGATCGCCAGTCGGCATTACTAAATATTACGGGATTTTCACCAACTGCTGAAGGCACCCTCCTTCGCTGAGTTTGGACCTCAACTCCAATCATTGGCACTGAAAAGAGCAGTTACTTCAATCCAGAGATTTTATCCAGAGGCAGAATCGCATAACAGCAACAACAACTACAATAACAATAATAATAGTAATAATAATAATAATTATTATTATAATTATAATAATGAGGAGAAGAAGAAGAAGAAAGAAGAAGAACAAGAAAAAGAAGGAATTGCATCGGTGAATGTAAAATCCGTACAACTCCAAAATTTACATTTTTAATGGAGTTCGCCAAAATCACATTTAAACGTGGCCTCTCCTTCTGAGTTGAACAACATTACAGGATGAGGGATACTAGACAAAAACCTGATCGAGATGGGGGCATTGACCCGGAAGCTGAAATATATTACTTGTTAAATGTATTATTTAGTATTTTATTATACAATACAATGTAAAATATTGCATTATGTATCATTGTTATTTTTCTTTCTGATGATCAATATAGTCTCTAATTGTATATAAACAGTTATGCAGCACAAAATATTTTACTTTGAACTTAAATTTGTTTACTTATTTTAATTCTCCGATATCATCTGGCAATATGTTGTACGCACATGTGTTATAAGTGGATTTCTTATAACGAGCTATTGAAACTGAAACGAGATGAATGTGATTGCTATGAAGTGTGTTGTAATTATAAATATCAATATTGCATGAATACCCCCGTTAAGTAAGTCAGTTTTGACAAAAATGACAGATTCGTAAATAAATAGGCAAGGTATGATTCCAAGATCAATGAAGAGAGGCTTGCGGTAATCACGTGGATGGCATTTTTAATTTCTGCCAACTGTGAATAGAGAAAGTAACGCAATGCTGTGCGAATACTGAGCCCCTTAATGCAATAGATTCCAGTCAGATATCGCTTCTGAACAATTTTTTTATCGAAGTCCCGTCCTCTTACTACTACGGAGACTCGCATTGAGTGATCCTCCAGCCCATATCTCCGTCGCCTGTGGCAAGAAAAGGGAAATTCCCGGACACAGGCGACTATCTCCAATAGCAGTCAGGATGACTCTGCTGTTGACGAGGAGCACCAGGAGAGTTTCTCTACAACTTTTCAGAAGGTGAGAAAGAAAAAAGCCAAAGAAGTAATTCCCTACAATGTCATATAAACGGTTTCGTGCACATTCAAAAGAATTGAGATTGACAATTTCTTGCCATGACCATTTATAGTCTGCCTTCAGGAAACTC